CCCCAGGTGTGCCCAGGTGCCCCCCAGCTGTGCCCAGCCCCCCCCCAGGTGTGCCCAGGTGTGCCCAGGTGCGCCGTACCTGCTCGTCGGAGGCCAGGTTGGAGAACATGGGGATGATCTCGCTCTTGACGTGCTCCAGCTCCAGCACCTTGGCGAACTCGCCCAGCTTGGAGGCGGCCGCGCGCCGCACCATGGGCGTGTCGTCCGAGCACAGGTTCCGGAAGTACCTGCGGGCACACCTGGGGGTCACCTGGGCACACCTGGGGGGCACTGACAACAGCCCAGGGTCACCTGAGTACATCTAAGGGTCACCTATGGGTGTGCTGTCCCACCTGAAGTACCTGCGGGCACACCTGGGGGTCACCTGGGCACACCTGGGGGGCACCTGAGTACACCTGAGTACACCTGGGGGGTACCTGAGTACATCTAAGGGTCACCTATGGGTGTGCTGTCCCACCTGAAGTACCTGCGGGCACACCTGGGGGTCACCTGGGCACACCTGGGCACACTTGGGGGGAACCTGAGCACACCTGGGGGGCATCTAAACACACCTGAGTACAGCTTGGGGGCATCTGGGCACAGCTGGGATGGGTTGGTGACCCTGTGGCCACCTCACTGACCCCACCCCAATGACCCCGTGGTCACCCCAATGACCCCCTGGTCACCTCACTGACCCTGTGGTCACCTTAATGACCTTGTGGTCACCTCAGTAACCCCACCCCCACCCCAATGACCCTGGGGTCACCCCAATGACCCTGTGGCCACCTCAATGACCCCATGGTCACCTCACTGACCCCATGGTCACCTCACTGACCCCACACCCACCCCAATGACCCTGCGGTCACCCCAATGACCCCATGGTCACCTCAATGACCCCAAGGGCAAACTGATGGCCCTGTGGTCACCTCAATGACCCTGTGGTCACCTCAATGACCCTGGGGTCACCCCAATGACCCCATGGTCACCTCATTGACCCCACACCCACCTCAGTGACCCCAGGGATGGACTGGTAACCCTGTGGTCACCTCAATGACCCTGTGGTCACCTCAATGACCCCAAGGACAAACTGATGACCCCATGGTTACCTCATTGACCCCACACCCACCCCAATGACCCCGTGGTCACCTCAATAACCCTGTGGTCACCTCAATAACCCTGGGGTCACCCCAATGACCCCGTGGTCACCTCAATGACCCCAAGGACGAACTGATGGCCCTGTGGTCACCTCAATGACCCTGTGGTCACCTCAATAACCCCGTGGTCACCTCAATGACCCTGTGGTCACCTCAATGACCCCGTGGTCACCTCAATGACTCTGTGGTCACCTCAATGACCCCATGGTCACCTCACTGACCCCACCCCATGCCACGGCGGCGGTCACTCACTGGCGCAGCTCGGCCTTGACGGGGCTGGACACTCGCGGGTAGCAGACGCTGAAGAGGCCGCAGGCCGAGGTGCGCGACGTGAACCAATCCCCTCCGGCCAGCCGCTTGACCAGCGGCACGAAGTGACCCTCGAGGTCCGGCGGGGAGTGCTCGTGGGACACGGCCCGCAGCGACTCCACCGCCTTGTCCCGCACCACCGTCTCCTCCACCGTGGCCAGGCTCTCCAGCGGCGGCTGCGGACACATGGACGGGTGGACGTTGAGTGGACGGGTGGACATTGGGTGGGCAGATGGACATTGGGCGGGCAGGTGGACATTGGGTGGACAGAGGAACACGGCATGGTCAGATGGACATGGGATGGACAGAGGGATGTGGGATGGACAGGTGGACATTGGGTGGGCAGATGGATGTGGGATGGACACAGGTGGTCAGATGGACACCGGATGGACAGAGGGATGTGGGATGGACATGGGGCCATCAGATGGACACAGGGTGGTCAGGTGGACACAGGATGGACAGATGGACACGGGATGGGCAGAGGGATGTGGGATGGACAGATGGACACGGGATGGACAGAGGAACATGGGATGGGCAGAGGGATGTGGGATGGACAGGTGGACACAGGGTGGACATTGGGTGGGCAGATGGACATTGGGTGGACATTGCGTGGGCAGATGGACATTGGGTGGGCAGGTGGACATTGGGTGGGCAGATGGACAAAGGATGGTCAGATGGACATGGGATGGACAGAGGAACATGGCATGATCAGATGGACATGGGGCCATCAGATGGACACAGGGTGGTCAAGTGGACATGGGAGGGTCAGATGGACACAGGATGGGCAGGTGGACATTGGGTGGACACGGGATGGACAGAGGAATGTGGGATGGACAGGTGGACACGGGATGGACATTGGGTGGGCAGGTGGACATTGGGTCGAGAGGTGGATGTGGGATGGACACAGGGCGGTCAGATGGACATGGGATGGACAGAGGAACATGGTCAGATGGACATGGGGCCATCAGATGGACACAGGGTGGTCAGGTGGACACAGGATGGGCGGGTGGACACAGGGTGGACAGCTGGACATTGGGTGGCCAGATGGACATAGCATGGACAGATGGACACGGGGCCATCAGATGGACACAGGGTGGTCAGGTGGACGTGGGATGGACAGATGGACACAGGGTGGTCAGATGGACACGGGGCCACCAGATGGACACAGGATGGACAGATGGACACAGGGGGGACAGAAGGACGTGGGATGGACAGAGGGACGTGGGACGGACAGACGGACAAGGCGTGGACACCGGATGGCGCTTCGGGGCTCCCAGGTGTGTGTCAGCCCCGCCCAGGTGTGCTCAGGTGTTCTCCAGGTGTGTTTTGGGGCTCCCCAGGTGTATTTTCAACTCCTCAGGTGTGTCCCCAGATGTTCCCCAGGTGTGTTTTTGTCCCCCCATGTGTTTTTGTGTCCCCAGATGTTCCCCAGGTGTGTTTTTGTGTCCCCAGCTGGCCCCCAGGTGTATTTTTCTCCCCCCTAGGTGTATTTTTGTCCCCCCCCAGGTGACTTTTTGCCCCCCCAGGTGACTTTTTCTCCCCCCAAGGTGAGTTTTTACCCCCCCAAGGTGACTCCTTATCCCCCCCAGGTGAGATTTCCCGCCCCCCAGGTGAGTTTTTGCCCCCCCAGGTGTGCACGAACTCAGGTCCCCCCACGAGGGCGGTGAAGGTGCCCAGCTGCTCCGCCAGGGCCAGCAGCACCTCGTCCTCATCGTAGATGGTGTCTGCGACCGCACAGGTAACACACCTGTCACTCACCTGGCCCCTCTGACACCTGTCAATCACCCACAGGCCCCGCCCACCTCCCCCAAAACCCCGCCCGCCTTCCAAAATCCGGGCGGTTTTTGGCGTTTCCAAGGGAATTTTGGGACTTCCCAGGGCTGTCCCACCCCCAGTTGGATTTTGGGGACGCCTCCCCCACAAATTTTGGGAATTTTCACCCAAATTTTGGGGCCTTCCCGGGAAGTTTTGGTACCGGTGAGGAAAGGGAGGAGCTCGCTGCGGGTTCGCTCCACGCCCAGCGCCAGCGCGATGGTTGAGAGCTTCTTGATGCTGTTGAGGCGCAGCTGGGATGAAAAAATGGGGGAAAATCAGGAAAATTTGGGAAAATTCGGCGAAAATCGGCGGAAAAAAACCGCGGGAATCGCCCCCCTCACGAGGAAACCCCGCCCACAACGCGCCGCGGCCAATCAGGAGCGGCGTCTCACGGCTCTGCAGCGGCGCCGCGGCAGCGAGGAGGCCTCCGATTGGCTCCTCTAAGCCCCGCCCATGCAGGCAGCAGCCAATGGAGAGCGGCGCTGCCTCGGCCTCGCGCTGCCATTGGCTGCGGCGAGGAGGGAGCCGCGCTGCCCCGCCGCTAGGGAGCGCTGCGGCGGGCGGGGCAGATTTCTCCCCTCAGAGCTCTGCCGACCAATCAGAACGCGTCTAATAAACCCAAACCGCCGCTCCAGCCAATCACAGCGCGCCTTTCACCGCAACCACCAACCGCCCCACACATGTAACGCCGCCACCCATTCGCCCGCGCCTGAGGGGACCGGGCCGGCTCAGCCAATCAGCGCGGCCGTCTCATGGCGGCCATCAGCAGAGGACCAGCGGGCGATGGCGGCCGAGTCCCGGTGGCCACGGAAGAGGCCCCGAAGCCCCGGAAAAAGCCCCGGGGGTATCGCTGCGAGGCCCCGGTAGCGGTACCTGCACGTCCTCGTTGCGGAGCTCGTCGATGAGCACCGCGATGGGGTAAAGCGAATCGTCGCCGTCCGCCGCCGCCATCTTCGCCGCCGCCGCCGCCCCGGCTCTGAAGGGCCGCACGGGGCCGCCCGCTCCGCTCCTGCAGGGCTTCCGAGGCGCTGATTGGTCAGCGCTGCCGCACAGCCCGCCTGCCGAGTCTTCCTATTGGTTCAGCGCGCTGTCTGTCAGTTGAAACCCCTCCCATGCGGACGGCCGGAGAACTCGCGTTCTGATTGGGCGACGCTGTTGATTGACAGCGCGCGGGGGGGCGGGGCGAGGGGTTGCTGGGCAACGCGGAGGCGCCGTGTTGGAGACCGGGACGAACTGGGACGAACTGGGACAGACTGGGAGCGGACTGGGAGCCGCTGGGTTATACTGGGACAAACTGGGACCCGCCAGAGCCTGAACTGGGACAAACTGGTTTATACCGGGACGCCCCCGCAGCAAAAACCACCCAAAACCAGTAAAACTGGGCCAGGGTATGGCCCCGCCCCCGCTTGCTTAAACCACGCCCTTCATAGAAAGCGATGACGTCATGGACTGGCCACGCCTTTATTGGGGTGGGGGGGGGGGAAGGCACTGGGGGGAACTGGGCCAGACTGGAAGGCACTGAGAGGAACTGGGAGGAACTGGGAGGGACTGGGGGGAACTGGGATGAACTGGGAGGGACTGGGAGGGACTGGTGCGTCAGATGCGGCCGGCGTGCCTCAGTTTCCCCAGCAGGCTCTCCATGCTGTCCCCTCCCTGTGGCACTGGGATGAACTGGGAAGGCACTGAGGTGAACTGGGATGGACTGGGATGGACTGGGAGGGACGGCTTTCTGCGGGAAATTGGGAATTTTAGGGGGATTTTGGGGGGATTTTTTTAGGATTTTTTTAGGATTTTTTGGGGATTTTTTTCAGGATTTTTTTAGGATTTTTTGGGGATTTTTTTCAGGATTTTTTTAGGATTTTTTCAGGATTTTTTTGGAATTTATTAAAGATTTTTTTGGATTTATTTAGGATTTTTTTCAGGATTTTTTTAGGATTTTTTCGGGATTTTTTTGGAATTTATTAAAGATTTTTTTGGATTTATTTAGGATTTTTTTCAGGATTTTTTTAGGATTTTTTCAGGATTTTTTTGGAATTTATTAAAGATTTTTTTGGATTTATTTAGGATTTTTTTTCCAGGATTTTTTTAGGTTTTTTTTTAGGACTTTTTGGGATTTTTTCGGATTTTTTCAGGATTTTTTTAGGATTTTTTTGGATTTTTTTAAGATTTTTTTTTTATTTTTTTCAGGGTTTTCTCAGGACTTTTTTAGGATTTTTTCGGATTTTTTTAAGATTTTTTTGGGATTTATTTAGGATTTTTTTTATTTTTTCAGGATATTTTTGGAATTTTTTAGGATTTTTTAGGACTTTTTGCTGATTTTTTTCAGGATTTTTTTAGGATTTTTTGGGATTTTTTCAGATTTTTTTAGGATTTTTTTTTAGGATCTTTTGGGGATTTTTTCACGATTTTTTCAGGATTTTTTTGTATTTTTTTCAGGGTTTTTTGGGGATTTATTTAGGAATTTTTTGGATTTTTTGGGGATTTTTTGGGAATTTTTTAGGATTTTTTGGGGATTTTTTTTTCAGGATTTTTTTAGGATTTTTAGTATTTTTTTCAGGATTTTTTGGGGATTTTTTTGGGGATTTTTTTAGGATTTTTTTGGGATTTTTTAGGATTTTTTTCAGGATTATTTCAGGATTTGTCTTTTATTTTTTCAGGATTTTTGGGGATTTTTTCCAGGATTTTTTCAGGATTTTTAAGGATTTCTTTAGGATTTTTTTGGATATTTTTGGGATTTTTAAAGCATTTTTCTTGATTTTTGGGGTTTTATTTCAGGGACAATTTTTTCAGATTTTTTTGGGTAATTTTGGGGATTTGTTTTGGTATTTCTAGGGATTTTTTTATAATTATATCAGGATTTTTTGGGAATTTTTTTGGAGATTTTCAGAGAACTTTAGGGATTTTTTCGGACTTTTAAAGGATTTTTTGGGAAATTTTTGAGCATTTTTTAGGAATTTTTCAGGATTTTTTTGGAAATCATTAAGGATTTTTTTAGGAATTTTTGGGGGGCATTTTTGGGGGATTTTTTGGGATCTTTGGGGGGAGTTTTAAAGGCATTTTTTGGGATTTTTGGGGGAGCTCTTGCTGACCCCACTGACCCCAGGTTTGGGTGGCCGGAATTTTGGGGAATTTTTGTGGAATTTCGGGAATTTGTGGGAATCCCCCGGGAATTTGGGGATCCTGGAGATATGGGGAGCACCCAAAAATTTGGGGGAGTCCCAGGAATTTTGGGAATACCCAGAATTTTGGGGAAATCTCATTCTTAGTGACCCCAGTTTTGGGACAACAGGTCTACCCCCATTGGCCGCTATGGGAACCACGGGAATTTTTGTGGAATTTCGGGAATTTTTGGGAATCCCCCGGGAATTTGGGGATCCTGGAGAGACGGGGAGCACCCAAAAATTTGGGGGAGTCCCAGGAATTTTGGGAAGGATTTTTTTGGGGATTTTTTTAGGATTTTTTTGGGATTTTTTAGGATTTTTTTCAGGATTATTTCAGGATTTGTCTTTTATTTTTTCAGGATTTTTGGGGATTTTTTCCAGGATTTTTTCAGGATTTTTAAGGATTTCTTTAGGATTTTTTTGGATTTTTTGGGGATTTTAAAAGCATTTTTCTTGATTTTTGGGGTTTTATTTCAGGGACAATTTTTTCAGATTTTTTTGGGTAATTTTGGGGATTTGTTTTGGTATTTCTAGGGATTTTTTTATAATTTTATCAGGATTTTTTGGGAATTTTTTTGGAGATTTTCAGAGAACTTTAGGGATTTTTTCGGACTTTTAAAGGATTTTTTGGGAAATGTTTTGAGCATTTTTTAGGATTTTTTTAGGACTTTTTGGGGGAGATTTTTCTGGATTTTTTGGGGATTTTGGGCAGTTTTTTCAGGATTTTTTGGGCATTTTTTAGGAATTTTTCAGGATTTTTTTGGAAATCATTAACGATTTTTTTAGGAATTTTGGGGGGCATTTTTGGGGGATTTTTTGGGAACTTTTGGGGGAGTTTTAAAGGCATTTTTTGGGATTTTTGGGGGAGCTCTTGCTGACCCCACTGACCCCAGGTTTGGGTGGCCGGAATTTTGGGGAATTTTTGTGGAATTTCGGGAATTTGTGGGAATCCCCCGGGAATTTGGGGATCCTGGAGATATGGGGAGCACCCAAAAATTTGGGGGAGTCCCAGGAATTTTGGGAATACCCAGAATTTTGGGGAAATCTCATTCTTAGTGACCCCAGTTTTGGGACAACAGGTCTACCCCCATTGGCCGCTATGGGAACCACGGGAATTTTTGTGGAATTTCGGGAATTTTTGGGAATCCCCCGGGAATTTGGGGATCCTGGAGATATGGGGAGCACCCAAAAATTTGGGGGAGTCCCAGGAATTTTGGGAATACCCAGAATTTTGGGGAAATCTCATTCTTAGTGACCCCAGTTTTGGGACAACAGGTCTACCCCCATTGGCCGCTATGGGAACCACGGGAATTTTTGTGGAATTTCGGGAATTTTTGGGAATCCTCCGGGAATTTGGGGATCCTGGAGATATGGGGAGCACCCAAAAATTTGGGGGAGTCCCAGGAATTTTGGGAATACCCAGAATTTTGGAGAAATCCCATTCTTAGTGACCCCAGGCATTCCGGACAACAGGTCTACCCCCATTGGCCGCTATGGGAACCATGGAAATTTTTGTGGAATTTCGGGAATTTTTGGGAATCCCCCAGGAATTTGGGGATCCTGGAGATATGGGGAGCACCCAAAAATTTGGGGGAGTCCCAGGAATTTTGGGAATACCCAGAATTTTGGAGAAATCCCATTCTTAGTGACCCCAGTTTTGGGACAACAGGTCTACCCCCATTGGCCGCTATGGGAACCACCGGAATTTCCGGGAATTTTTGCGGAATTCCAGGGGTTTTTGGGGAACCCCTCGGGAACGCTGGGGCTCTGGGGGTTCCCCCACGCACCATGATGTTGGGCAGCGTGGCGTAGCGGGGCTCGTTGAGCCGCAGGTCGGCCGTCAGCACGGCCGGCAGCCGCAGCCGCAGCGTCTCCAGGCCGCCGTCCACCTCGCGCTCCACGCGCACGGCCCCGGACTCCAGCTGCACCCGCGAGGCGAACGTGCCCTGCGGGACCAGTAACGGACCAGTGGGCACTGGGAGCCTCCCAGTATGGACTGGGAGCCGCCCAGTAAGAGTTGGACCTTCCCAGTATGAGTTAGACCCTCCCAGTATGGTCTGGGCCTCCCGCAGTTTCACAGCCTTTGGGGTGAATATATCCCACAATCCCCCACGACTTAAGGGTGAATATATCCCACAACCCCCGCGATTTGGGGTGAATATATCCCACAATCCCCCGCGATTTGGGGTGAATATATCCCACAATCCCCGCGATTCGAGGTGAATATATCCCACAATCCCCCACGACTTAAGGGTGAATATATCCCACAACCCCCTGCGATTTGGGTGAATATATCCCACAATCCCCCGCGATCGGGGTGAATATATCCCACAATCCCCACGACTTAAGGGTGAATATATCCCACAACCCCCTGCGATTCGAGGTGAATATATCCCACAACCCCCCGCCGCGGTGCACCACGGGATATATTCCCCATTACAAGGCATTGTGGGATATACCCCCCTCCACTGCCGCGGAGGATGACGGGATTTATCCCCCCGCGGGGGGATGTATCCCATGGTGCCCCGCGCGCGGCCTACCTGCGGCCAGTCCAACATGGCGGCCAGGATCTGCCCGGTCTGGTTGCAATCGTCATCGATGGCCTGGGGGGAGGGGGACAGGGGGTCTATAGGGGATCCATAGGGGATCTATAGGGTCTATAGGGGTTTGTTGGGGTGTATAGGGGCTCTGTAGGGTCTCCATAGGGATCCACAGGGATCCATTTGTTTCTGTAGGGTCTCTGTGGGGATCTATAGGGGTTCTATAGGGGATCCATAGGGGATCCATAGGGTCTATAGGGGTTTGTTGGGGTGTATAGGGGCTCTGTAGGGGATCCATAGGGGATCTATAGGGGATCCCTATAGGGGTTCTATAGGGGATCCATAGGGGATCCATAGGGGATCCATAGGGGATCCATAGGGGATCCATAGGGGATCCATAGGGGATCCATAGGGGATCCATAGGGGATCCATAGGGGATCCATAGGGGATCCATAGGGGATCCATAGGGGATCCATAGGGGTTCTATAGGGTTCTATGAGGTTTTATAGGGTCTCCATAGGGACCAATAGGGTTCTGTAGGGATCCATAGGGGATCAATAGGGATCTATAGGTGATCCATAGGGGATCTCTAGGGGATCAATAGTGTTCTATAGGGGATCAATAGGGGCTCCATAGGTGACCCATAGGTGATCAATAGGGGCTCCATAGGGGATCCGTAGGTGATCAATAGGTGATCCATAGGTGATCAATAGGGATCAATAGGTGACCAATAGGTGATCAATAGATGATCAACAGGCATCAATAGGTGATCCACAGGAGATCAATAGGTGATCAATAGGTGCTCCACAGGTGATCAATAGGGATCAATAGGCGATCAATAGGTGACCCACAGGTGATCAATAGGTGATCAATAGCGATCAATAGGTGATCCATAGGTGATCAATAGGGATCAGTAGGCGACCAATAGGTGATCAATAGGCGATCAATAGGTAACCAATAGTGATCAATAGGCGATCAGTAGGTGATCAATAGTGATCAGTAGGTGATCAATAGGTGACCCATAGGGATCCATAGGTGCTCAATAGCGATCAATAGGTGATCAATAGGGATCAATAAGCGATCAATAGGTGATCAATAGGGATCAATAAGTGATCAATAGTGATCAATAGGGATCAATAGGTAACCCATAGGGATCCATAGGTGCTCCATAGCGATCAATAGGTGCTCCACAGGTAATCCATAGGGATCAATAGGTGACCCAC